ACTGCCTTGCTATTGGATTTTGAAGAAGAGGCTTAACCTCTCTGGGCCTGTTTCTTACCTGAACACAAGGTTACTGAACACAAGTACCCCTCTACTAGGTCCATCAAGAAGCTTAAATTAAATATTATGAAAATGCTTGGCACATGCCGAGCACGTAAGACATTCGTAATCAGTGTCAGCTACAGACGTCATCATTAGGAAAGACAGAACATTTTCGCTTAAGGCCAGTCAGATGAGGGTAGATTTAGGACCGAGCCCCCACCCACCACAGAGCTCCAGTCTGGACCATTCTGAACAGCACGCCGCTTTTCACTCACTGGCTTGCACCATCTGCAGACTGGGGGTGATGATTACACCTCGCAGGGCTGTCCTCGTAAAGGAGGAGAATGTTTCAGGAAGCAAAGTCACCTTGTAGACCACCACACTGTCATTATTTTGGGGATGTTGAGGGTAGTTTCTGGGATCATTAGTCTGCACATGATCCTAGTTTTCGGAATTTTCTCATATAACTTCACTCCGCCCCACCCATCTCCACCCTCACACCACAGTGGCTCCTGGGACCTGCTTAGGGAGGGTGTAAATCACAGAGCATGCTGACCCGTAATCTTGAATAACATATGTGTATAGAGCTTACAGACAAAGGACACGTCAGAGCAGATGACTTGGAATGGAATTTTGTGTCAGTTCAGAACGCCCCCACCCCCAGTTCAGAAAGCAAACCTGTGGACCGTCAGGAGGACATGGGATGATAAGACAGAATTTTCAAAATGGCAAAGTCATGATTCTTACGGAAATATAAAATGAAACTTAGTGAAGATTTTATTCAACTCATTAATGAAGGAGTCAGGAAGATATTTAGACCAGTTCAAAAAAGCATTGGAGGAGCTAGGCATTTATAGGCAATCTAATGTTAAGACAAGACTCATAGGTCAGGTGTCTAGTTAATGTCCTCCAGGACAATAAATCATGGCCTTTGGGCTTATCTTTTTCAAAAGGACAAAAATTATGTGTCTCTCTACTGGACAGAAACCCACAAGTTCACATCTAACTTCACCAAGTCTTGGAGTAGAAGGAAGGAAATTTCTCTAGATAATCCTTGTATGGAGGGGGGCAGGGGGCGGGTGCCAATGTCTGCCCCCTATGACACCGAGAGGACATGCCACCCACCTTTCTGCTTTACGTCCAAGTTTTGGGTAACTTTTTTAAACAATGGTAAATACTTATTTCACTTTACAAACCACCTTTTAATACTGGGGCAAAAAAATGGCAGGGGGGAACCATATTTCGGAGGAGGAAGCTGAGCTACACAAGGAGAGAGAAGCTGAGCTGGGAGGGACTCACACCTCCTAACTCGGAGCCCCGAGCTCATCCCCAGACTCCATATTGCATTTCCCCTTTTCACTTCCTCGTCATCTCGGTCCTGCACTTGCTCTTGGTGACACTTTTCCCCTTTAAGGCTTTCCCTGAGGCTCACCTGAAGGCATATGCTCGGAGGAGGGCGGAGTCCCCTGCCCTGGGCATCCCCAGGGAGCCCAGGTCTGATCTAAGTCCTTTTAAGTCCCTGACACAACTCAGTTCCACACCATCAGATGGACCACATCCTACTATCCTGAGCCAAAGAAAATTGTCAAAACATTTTATTCTCCCCTCAAGAAAGAGGACAGAATAGATGCTACATTCCAAGAAACCCCTTTTATTTTTAAGTGATGGTTCCTTTTAAGTCCTCTTATTCTCAGCTACTGTGAGCCACTGCACCATCCTTCATCTGAGATGGAGTCCAGTCAGAGGAACCCACTGTTTACAAACCGGAATATCTCCTTTGGAACACTATTCTGGCTGACGTGCTCGGCTCCTCAGTCAACAGGACCCTCGTTTCTGTGGGGGAGAGACCTGGGTCTGTCTGGCTCCAGCATGAATGTCGTTGCAGCACACAAATGGCTATTTATTATGTTACACTGTCAGCCAGGAAACTGGCTCCAAGTGTGGCCTGATGGCCCAAATCTGTTTCTTCCTCACAAGGCCATTTATTTTTCTCTCCCACAGACTTCTGTCGCCATGGAAACCATCCCACTAGCGGGGTGGAAATGAAGGCCAATTCTCTGCTTCCTGCACCTTGTCAGAGAGGCAACATTTACATAAATGAAACAGAGTAGAGAAAAAGAAAGTGTATGGGGTGTGCATTTGGAAAAGTGGTTTGTCTGAAGTTTCCCAGAACTGTGAAGCTGGAGGAAAATTGTTTTTTGAGAACATCTGATTCAGAGAGTCTCTCAGGCTGTTTACACAAGGTGTAGTAATGGCAGCGAGGACTCAGTGCATGAGAAACGCATGCCGAGTCCTTCCCACGTGCCAGCCCATTGGGCCTCACAGCAGCCCTGAGAGGCAGGCTGGTTATCATCCCCATGGCACAGGTGAGGAAACTGAGGCTCCGCAAGCCCAGTCACCTGCCCAACTCCAGCAGAAGAAAGGGATAGAACTGGGACCAAAACCCAGACCTTCTAATCCTAAAGCCTGGAGCCCCTTAGCTTGTAACAGCCGCCTGCCCTCCACCTCTCCCCTTGCTTCTAACTTAAACCAACACTTCACAGGCTCTGGAAGCCACTGGCCATCCTGTGCACCCATTTTTATCTAATCCTGTGATCCTTCCCTCCCCAGCCATGTGACAACCACTCTGTAACATCTCCCAGAATGAAGGCTCTGCAGAACAGGCTTTGGACCACCCAGATCCAGGCCAGTGTTCTTATTTTATAGAGGAGCCATTTAGGGTGAGCGAGGAGACCAGCCGCCCCCAGCCCCACAGCTAATAAATGTCAGGGCTGCCTCCGCAGGGCCCGCAGGCCGTTGCTCCACTCCGCTGCCTTACTTTGCTCTTTCTGTGCCAGACCCAGAGCCAGCAGCCAGCTATACCAGCGAGGCATCGGGACTAATCCCTTGTGGGGGTGGCTGTTTAATCAGCCACTTGTTAGAAGAACAATAATGCTCCAGCGCACAGAGGGCTCTGACGATTAAGAAATGCTTCTTTCTACATAGCTCTCCTGTTTTCCAGCTTTGCTGCCTCTGGATCTGTCTAGGACCGTCGTCCAATGGTGAAGCCTTATTCATAAACTGAACACCTCCCAAAATAACCTTGAATCACTCAAATATTCAGTGTGAAGGGATCACTGTATTGCAACTAATAGAATCCAAGGAGTCAAGACAGACGCAGAGGTTTGCAAGGACTGTTTAAATAGGCTATGGCTTTAGGGAGTAAAGTTCTGCCTATGAATGAAAGCTCTCCCATTTAGGACGATGCGTTGGTGGTGAGCATCCTCCTGATTTTCAATTTTAACATGAATGTAGCACAAATATGAACATGCCTCCCTTCCAATGTGTGTGACATGGTCCTTACTCTCTGGAGCTGGGAATGACTTTTTTCCATGTCTTTTTTTTGAATTCGAACATTAGCCACAAGGATGGCCTCTCAAGTTTCACTGCTTTTTTTCTTCCCCACTGAAAAGCAAAGAGAGTAGCTGAGTCCTGTCCCAAAGAACATGCTCAGATTGCAGGGCCCTACCTGCCGTGACCTGTGCACCTTTTGGCCGTTGCACATTCTCTTCCTTCTAAGAAGCCCTTTCTCCTGTTTTGCCTGCTCATCTTGTACAGCCCCAGTCAAGTCGCCTCCTCCAAGAAGCCTCCCTCCCATATAGGTGTTTTCACACCTTCCTGTGTACACCTGAAGTCAGTGTGTAGAATAATAGCATCTGCCACTTTCAGGGCCTAAGATGGGGGTGACTCTTTACAGACAGTCTCTCTCCCATCTGACAGGTAAGCAAACTGAGGCTCAGTTTGCCCAAGGCCAGTGCCACTGTTAGGTCACAAAGCTGGGCTTGGAATCCTGGTCTCTCAGGCTCCAAAGCCCCTACCTTTCTGCTGTGCAGCAGGCAATTTCCCCTGCCTCAGACTTAGCCCGTCCAGGAGCAGGCGATAAGTATGCGTTTCCCTCTCCATCTCCACCCAGATGGTGAGTTCCTCTAGGGCACACCTGAGCTTTAGGATGTATCCCTGTGCCTGGCACACAGTAGATGATAAATAAATGCTTAAAGGACTCAGCAAACGCTGGTTGAATGAGAAACGTGTTCCTTTATCGTATAGTTGAACATAAATTATAATACATGTGCATACCTGTAGCAAGTCATCCCCCAAGAGGGAATTGGGACAGTTTCTCAGCCAGCAGATTCATATACTAAGACCTTTCTTCTCCACCTTTTAATGTTATATGAAACCTGGGAATTTTTGTTCAAGTGTAGATTCTGATTCAAAAGGGCTGGGGTGGGGCCTGAGGGTCTGTGTTTCTGGCAGGTTTCCAGTGATGCTGGTTTGAAGACCCCTTTTGAGAGTCATTTTGGGTCTAAACGCAGCAGTGGTGGCGGCCAGCATGTTTTTATTACCAATGGCTGGTAACAAATAATAAACCTGTCTCGTGCATGGTTCTTCCAAAGGACTTCCAACCAGATTTCAAATGCTCGTGATTTTCCATGTTTTAGCAAAATATTTAAGTTATACTTTGGGCTGTAAACACTTGGCAGCATGAACGTTTGCTTGTGCCTGTAGCTTTGGTTTAATCACACCGTATCAGTAAATTACGGATAAATGAGGGAGAAGAGACTCTCTCTAGAAGATTCCATCCCACTGACAAGTGGATCAGGAAAGCTGGTGAGAGTGGGCAAGGAGCAGATGATGCCTCACAGCGGCGGGTTTCCAACACAATCCTTGGTGTCTGGCAACAGCCCCAGAGGCCAGGAATGAGCCTCCATTGTAGTTTTATCGGGAAGTGCCCCACCCGTGGACACTTGCCCGCCCTGTGGCCACTTTCCCAGCTGGTCTCAGTTCCTGGTAAACAGTTAAGTGATGGCTTATTCATCCCGAGCCCTCTGACCCCCACACAACCCCTCTGCCAACATGCCAGCATCCCCAGTCTAAGACTTTTGGAAGGAAAACACCCTCTTCTCTGTCTCCTTTTCCAGATGTCCCTGGGCCAGCAGCAGTCGGCAAGAGGTGTGCCTTGTTTGAGATGCAAGGGGACGTGTTCGGGCTTCGAGCCACACTCGTGGAGGTAAGAGAGTTTGTCAGGAGAGGTGCTGCCTGCCTTCACTTCTTGGCTGTCCTTTCTGGGAATGCTGGCCATGCATCTCTGCTTGGATGGCTTAGGAAGCATGGCGCTGTCGGGGAGGAAGGGTCCTGGACGGAAGGCACCCCTGCTCGGTCTAGTTCAGAAACGACAGCAGAGCCTATGGGAAACCAAGGCAGAGAATCAGCTCAGCATTCCACAAACTGTGTCCGGCTGAGGCTGCCAAGCTCAGCCCAGCAAGACTGCGCCGGGAAAACGTGGGCCATTGTCAGCTGGTGTCCAGCCCACCCTGGGTGGATCTGCTGCCCTACATGGGGTTGGGTTACGTGGGGTTGATCTCCCGCTACTGCACCATCATCCCTTTTGCTGCGTTTTGATCTCAAGAGTGCCTCTGGGACAGAAATGAAAGTCGCTCTGTCCACAGTACTTAAAAACCAGGACCCGGTGTCCATATATCCCTGAGGGAGGGCCATACAACCCAGCTGGACTGGGTTTTGCAGTTTTCTTCTCTTTGTTCTCACTGAGGACTCTAAAAACAAGAGGAAGAGCTGCCACACTGCTCAACATCGGGCACTATTCACATCAGTGTCCCTGTGGGCGGCACCCCCTGGAGTTGGGCAGCTCTGTGACTGTCCCTGCAGCCCTGGGGGAGAGGCTATGCTCTGTAGGGCATGAGGTCAAACAAGGAGCTTTCATCTCCATTGCCAGAGGGTTGCCTTGGGAACTCCATCAGGGAGCAAAATTTGGGAGGCATTAGTCTCAGAGATGTTGACTTCCATTGTGGAATGGCAATTTACAAAAGTATTTATTGAGTTAAGTCTTATATTAAACTGTGGAAGTGACCCTAAACAGTAGGTACTAGTATTTCCATTTCACAGATCAGGAAACTGAGAGTGGATAATGGGGGAACAGCTATGAAATGGCAGGATTCAAACTCAGTCTGCATGAAACACTACCCATGCTCACCCTCATCTGCATGTAATACTGCAGACCCTGAGCTTTCCAAGCCCAGATCATTCCTTGACCCCCTCCCCTCTCAGTCCTTGACTTCAGAGGAGCTTGTGTGGTCATCTATATGCCTGGGACCTTCAAGTTCATCTGGTGCCAACTCCCATCCCCTGCACAAACTCCTCCCACAGCCAAGACACTCACTCCTAAGGGAACTCCCCACACATCTATTCTGGCCATGTGTGCTCTTTCTGACCTTGACGAGAGTCACCTTCCCTCTCATTTCACCACGTTGGTCCTAAATCTGCCATCAAGGGTCAGAGAACAACACTGGTTTCTTGTCAGCTCTCTGAAGACAGCTAGGATGCCCCCTGTTAGAATTCTTGGGGCAGGGGGATAATGTCCCCTAAATGCTCCCACTCGGTGAGTCCAATCAGGTTTCTCCCAAGGATCACAGTCCTTCGAGGCCTGTCGTCTGACACTTGAGAATGGTCTTTCAGTAGATTTTATCTGGATGTCTAGTTGTTTATGGCAGAAGGGCAGTTCTGGACCCTGTTCCTCAGGGCTGGAAGATGAAGGCTCCCAGCATTGTATTAGACCCTGTATTTCCTCATCTTCCTACAGATGATCTGAACATCAGGTGAATTTATCCCTGAGAGACACTGACACAGATTGCAGCTTGTCGGTCCTGCATATCACATGTCATGTTTGGTTTGAACCACCTTCCCAGGGACCTAAATTCAAGCCATCTTGGAGCAGTGAGGTCCCAGAACCTTAGGGGGAAAATGGTATCATCACCAATTTTTAGGCTGAATTTTTCATACACTTAGTAGTTTGAAAGTTATGTAACTGATCAAAGTAGCAGCCAGCCTGGTTTAGTGCAGAAGTACCCCAGCTAATAATCACAGGACAAAGTCGCATGCTGACTCTGCTTGAACAAGACACCTCCCTTCTCCAAGCCTCAGTTTCCCACCTGAAAAACAGAAACATGGGAGCTAATGTGCTCTAGGATCCCCTTGCAGCATTACAATTCCATAGTTTCAAGCAAACTGTAATTGAATGCATGATTCACGTGGTTAGAAGAATTAGAATGGTATTTGTATTAGCAGCTGAGATAGCAGAGTTACTTAGAGAGGAAGGGACAGAGTGAAGACGAGAGCAGACTTTCAGAAATAACATATCATGGAAAGGTAAGGGGAAGTTCTCCAGGCAGCCTTAAGCATCCCACTTTCCCAGGGGCCGGGTGGGGCTTCCTGCCTTCCTGGCCTGACCTCCTGGGTGCCGAGCTGGGCAGAGGGGCACACACCTGCAGGATTCCAGGCTTTTCAGAGTCCAACAAAGTCTCTCCCTTACATACAGAGATGTTGTAAGTTTTACTACTATTCTAATAGCTTTATTTATTTACATTTATAATGTACAAAGACTTTGGTGAGTAGAAAAAAACCCTGGTTTGAGGGAAACAGGGGACATTGTATGAAAAAGGGGAGATAGACTGCTGGTTCATCAAATCACAGTTTACATCCATAGGTTCTCTTGATAGTTGCCCGATCTGCTCTTTGCGGCAGCCTTTCTGATGAGGTCCTGTCTCGGTGGCGGCAGCTTCAGCAGCTGCTCTGGGACCCGTAGCTTAACTGCCTCTTCTCACCTGGCCACGGAATTGTGTCACAGGGGCTGGGCTTTCTGTGCCTTTTTAGGAATAATCTACCTTGAGAAGTAAACCTGAGCTGCTTAAATCCCTAAGAGGGACCAGCTAGGGTATCTCACACTTTGGGGGTTCATTAGGATGGTGCCTGGAACAGTTATAAGTCCCCAGACCTGGATCCCACTCCAGACCTGTGAATCTGACTAGCTGGGGCATCCCCAAGTGTACAGAGCATGCCCCACCCCCCCACCCCCAGGTGATTCGGATGCAAAGCAAAGTTTTAAAACTCATCAACTAGACCAGGAGTCAGTAAACTGTCTGTAAAGGGCGAGATAGTAAACACTTCAGGCTTTGCTGGCCACGTGGGCCCTGCCACACTGTTTGTGGCTCTTGTAGCATGACAGCAGCCACAGACAATACGTGCATGAATGAATGTGACTGTGTTCCCTTCAGTCTTTACTTAAGGACACAGAAATTCTCCTTTCACATCATCCTCACATGTCACAAGACAGTAATTGCCTTTTGAATTTTTTTCAACCATTTAAAGATGTTAAAACTCTTACTTCACAGGCCATACAAAAAACAGGTGATGGGTTGGATTTGGCCGATGGGCTGTAGTTTGCCAGACCCTCACGTAGACCAACCCACTTATTTTCCAGATAAGAAGACCAGTGGCCTGTGGTGGGCTGGTGCTCGGGCTAGAACTAAGATTCCAAGGTTGAAATTTTCCAGTGTTCTGGATTGCCTGTGACAGATTGTAGAAATGACTGCTTAACACCTTTCTGGGTGTGTCTGTACCCTCTTCGGTCTGGGTGCCTGGAATAAGCAGGGTGGGGCCACAGCAGTGTCTTCCTCATCTCTAAAGTCCCAGCAACACGCTTGGCAACATGAAGAACGTGAATCAAAGGAGGCATGATGTTGGTACAATCTCAGAGAACATCTCCTGTTCGTCAGCATTTACCATTTCAAAGTGTGTCCCTTTGCCAACATCTCTAAAGGCATCCTAACAGTCCACATTTGCCAAAAAAGCCAAAGGCTGCTTCCTCATCCAGCTCCACCGTATGGGAGGACTGGGGAGGTGGCAGAACGCATGGCAACACTGAGCTTCCCTTCCCTTCCTCCCCCCAACTCCTTACGCTTCCTGCTCTCCTGCTGTCACTCCCCACAAGCAAACCCACAGAGCTACACCCACCTTCTTAGCAACACAGTCTCCCCGTGCCTGGCTCACGACAGGGAGAGCTGAGAGAATACTACTGATCGTGAATAAAGGCCCCAGTGCCACAAGCAACTCCTTCTTACGAGGTCACAAAGAAAAGATGTTTTTGCCCTGCATCCCCTTTGAAGTCCTATTCTCTTTTGTAGCACTGGAATTATCCTTGAGATTGCCGATTTTAATGTTTCTCAAATTGCAGCCCGCTGAATGCAAACTTGGGCTGCAAGCTTCTCCTCACGTAATGCTGGGAATGCTGCATTCTCCCCCACTTAAAGTCCCATTGCACATTGTCCCTTTAAAACCAAGCAGCAGCCTTGCACACAAGAAATGTGTTTAACCTTCTGTGACCCACTGTTTTCCAAACTGATCAGCACCGAGCCCATTCCGATAAGGCTAGGTACTTACATCCGGGGCAAACTGGTCCAGACCAGCACAATGACCCCAGGGCATATGCAGTTCCTCCTATGGCCCAAACTTATTCTTTGTGCTGCAGTTTCCATCTGATTTTCTCTCCCTCTCATACCCCATCTGTAGGCTCCATGAAGGCTGTGACGAGACCTCCTTCTCTTCCTATTAGACGAGGTGCTTGTTGGCCTATATAATTCTTTGTTGTAGAGGGCACTGTTCTGTACACTATAGGATGCTTACCAGCGTCCCTGGCCTCTGCCTTCTAGAAGCCGGTGGCACCCCATTGTGGCAGTCAAAAATGTCTCCAGATGTTGCCAAATGTCCCTTGGGGGACAGAACTGACCTTGGTTGGGAATTGATGTAGACCATTAGGGCATGCATGCCCTGCTAGCCCCACGATCAGTATTTGTGACATGATTAAACAGATCAGTCTCCTGAGTTTCAAAGAGAAAAGGAGGATTCCTTGGGGCATGGCTGGCTGTGAGGTGCTCATGCAACCGCAGTGGGAGCCCTTGCTTAGGACTGCCCATCCCTGCAGAGGTCCTGACAGTGCTCACTTCACTTAACAAGCTCTTAAATCACATGCATTACAGCATCTGAGACACAGCACGCCTAACGTGACGGGCCAGCAAGGGAGGGGAGCAGTTTTCCTCTCACACCACAAACTCTCTGGATTTCTAAACCTTAACAGAATGACACAAAGCAGCCAAATGCTTTTGTTTTTAATTGTCAGAGAGAAGTGGCAGGCTTTCAAGGGAATATGAACCTTCCCCTGGGATGCTTTTCCTTCTTCAGGCCTCACAACAAGACCTTGCCAGTGACCATCAGTCTCTCCAGCCTGAGGGGTTTTCTAAGCTCCGTTCCTTCCCCTGTCCACCAGTTTCTTGAAGAAAATTTCCAGCTGTATGCTAACTTCAGGATAAGTGCTAATGGTTTCAAAAGTTGCTGATGCTCCAAGGCTCGTGAATCTTGGGAGATGATTTCAGTAATTCTTTAAAGCAGGAGTCAGCAAACCCCTTTTCTAAAGGGCCAGAGAGTAGATATTATAAGCTGTGCATGCCATGTGGTGCCTGTTGCAGTTACTTGAGTCTGACTTTGTAGTAGACCAAACACAGCCACAGACAACATATAAATGAACAGGCATAGCTGTGTTCCAATAAAACTTTATTTACAGAAGCAGGTGGTGGGCTGAATTCAGCCACAGGCCATAAAGACTCCTGCTTTTAGTGTTCTAATGAATGAACCAGACTTTGCCACCACAACTACTGTGAGGAAAAGCATGCTGTTCTTTTTACTGGCAGAAGTCATATCCCACATTCCTTACAGATAGACAGGCTGATAGAAAGACTAGACTCTCCCAAAGGCAATTTCCAATTCCAAAGGATTTTTGGTCTCAGCTTATCATTTGTCTGCTGTAGACATTTCTAAGCAATTAAAGTTAAACTTTGAGCTTGCTTTCAAATAGGTCTCCTGCTGTCAGCAGGAGACCTGTGCCTCTTTTCTGGAGGTTGACCTGAATTGTCCTGATCACCCTCACTCCCCCAGGAAAATATGCAAGTCATGCAAATGCAGCCAAGAGGACCACTGCCTGAGCTCTGACCTGGACGATGACCGGAAAATTGGCCGCTTGCTGATGGACTCCAAGTATTCCACCCTCACAGCCCGGGTGAAAGGTGGGGATGGCATCCGGATTTACAAGAGGAATCGGATGATCATGACCAATCCCATTGCTACTGGGAAAGATCCCACCTTTGACACCATCACCTATGAGTGGGCTCCCCCTGGAGTCACCCAGAAACTGGTAAGAGAGACTCCTCCATCCATGTGGCTGTTTTCCCAGCCTTGTCAATATTAGCCATGCATGAACTCCTGAATTTCAAATGCAAAGTAAGAAAAGGGCAAGGTTACAAAAATGGTAGGAATAGCTATGGTTTCAACCCTGGTCCCACCTCATTGTGTGATCTTGAAGTGACAATTGGGCCTTAGTTTTCCTCATCCATGAAATGGGTAGAGGTGTTTATATGAATTGTAAGGGCCCTCCCAGCACTAGTACAGGATTGTTCCTGGTTCCCTGTGGGCTCAGCACTTATGAACAGAGGATGGTTTACCATTCAGTCCTCTCAGGTGTTTTTCTTCATCTGCTGGATGTACAAGCCTGTAGGAGAGCACAGAAATGGTCCTCGCTTCTCTCTAGCAGCTGAAGCCTCCTGGGCTCAGAAGGGAAAACCAACCTAGCTTTTCACAACCTTGGGAAGAGGCATCCAGAGAAGGAGACGGTCCAAAGAGAGCAAGTGACTTCACAAGGTCACACTCTGGCTCTCCACTAAAAAAATCCATAGAAAGTCCATCCCCATGCACAGGCCTCACCCCAGCCCATTAAATCAGAAGCTCCTGAGTGCAGGCTCAGAATTACCAGACGTGAGCACTTATATTACCACCCCCCAGGTACTGTCACATGCAGTCACCCTCAAACCCCAGAGGGCCAGACCAGTGCTCCTCAAATTTTAACAAGCACGCAGATCATCTGGACAGCTTGCAGGAATACACCCAGGAGGCCCGGCTGGTCCCAAGACTCTGCACCCCTGACAAGCTCCTGTGCCGATGGTGCTGGCCCCAGACCACACCTGGAGGGACCAGGGCCTACATGATTGTATACTTAAGACAAGAAAAGGCCCTATAATTTTAGAGATGCCTGCCTGGAGTGTAATTCAGTCTCCCCTGGGAGAAAAGGAGAGCCTCTGGGGTCTTGCACAGCCCTGTTCTGCAGGCTACTCACACGGCTCTGGCTGTGCCCTTGTCAGTAGGTACTGACTACTGACCTTCCTCCTTCCTGCTCTGGAACACTCTAGGCTCATGCCCATCTCAGGGACTTAGCACTTGCGGTTCCCTCTACTTGAAACAGCCTTTCCCTGTTCTTCGCACAGCTTCTGACAGCTGGTCTCAGACAGGCTATTCCTAACTACACAACCCACAGTAGATGCCACCCATCCTCCTGCTACGTTTTCTCTCTCAGTTCTCCAGTGTTTCTTCAGAAGCTTTTCTTACAAGCTGTAATTGTCATCTGCATGTCTTTGCTGAGCTATCATCTACCCCCCACACACACACTGGAGTGAAGGGAGGCCCACATGGGCAGACCCCATGCTGTGCTGTGCACTGTCCTATCCAGCACCTTGCACTGCAGGGCATGCAGTAGGCTTGATGAGTACCTGCTGAGAGCCGGTGACATTCCATGTGTGGTCTGTGTACCAGCAGTGCTCCAAAAAACCCTTGTCACTGGTCCACAATGAGAAGCACAGAAATCGAGAATGAATTTGGGGAAGATTTTGGAGCAATCAACATCCAAGCATGGGATCAGAGAGCTCCTCTCACTGAACAGAAATCCACTGTGCTCAGATTCACGTGGAAATTTCATGTGGCATGAGCTCCATTCTGGCCATGTGCAGAGAGCCCACAAATCATTCTGTGATAGGCGGACAGATCAACCAAACAAACTTTGATCCTTCATCATACAGAGCTGGAGCAGCACACTTCTAAACTGCAGTTTAAGACAGGGAAAAAAATCCCTTCTAGATAAAGTGAAGAGAGGCAGAGACTTTTTAAGCTGTACTTTTTGAAAAGCATATTTTAAAAGAACACTTCAGTATTCATAAGTTCAGCCAGCCTATGAGGTAGGAATGATTTTATGTGTAAGGAACTACAGAGAGGTTAATGGGCCTTCACCAGTTCTAGGGACTAGGCAAGGGGCAGATCCTGGGTCACAGAGGGTGGGTCAAACAACAGTAGCTCCAGAATGTGCCGGGTGGTTCTGATTGTGGGTCCGCGTCCAGTCCCAAGCCTGGGTTAGCCATCAGTGGGTCTCCTAGATGTCAGTGGAAACTAAAGCAAGCAGCTCGTAAAAGTGCTGGCTGTGGGCGTCAGGAACTGGCTGCGAAAACCCCTGAGGCTGTGGCCCTGAACTAATCAGAGGCAGGCATCATCAGGCCGTGATTAATGCTGGCTCATAAAACCCCACGGTATAAAAGCCACTCTGTCCGCCCTGCATCTGGCCTGCCCAAGAAATGCCCTGCATTTCTATGATTGGACAACTCCCTTCCCACTCACCCTCCTGTCTTCTTTTAAACTACCAAGTGATTGGCACTGATTGTATTTTGGAAATGGGACCACATCTTGCTGTCATCCTTCCCAGTCAGAATGAAAACCAGACAAGTTCTTAAGCCTTCAAAGACTGGAACAATAAACGTAATGACTAATATTTATTGGGTACTTACTATGTGCCAGGCACCATGCCAGGAGCTATACATGTATGATCTCTGCTAATTTTCAAACATCGTTAGAGATGTACTAGTATTACCTTCACCTATGGGGGAAACCAAGGCTCAGAGAGGTGACACAACTAGCCATGTCTCACAACTGGTTAGCTGGCAGAGCCAGGTCTTGAACTCAGGCCTCTCTGACTTCTTAGGCCTTGCCCGCTGAGGCAGGCCTGGGGAACTGGGTGGGTGGAAGGAAAGGCAGAAAGGACCAGGTACCCTGAGTTAGCATAGGGAAGGCTTTCAAGGATAGGGAGGGGTTAGGCAGGATCTGGGGGGAGAGAAAAGGGACACAAGGGACCCAACTTCCATTGAGCATTTTGCTCATCAACATGTTGTTACTCCTGTTTGCTGAGTACGTTACAGCTCCTTTTTAGGGGGACAGGCAGAGGCTTTTGAGGTGCCTATGCGGGTATGGTTCTCATACCTTGTCCTCCACTCCCACACCCGTGGCAGGCGCTGCCGATTGGTCAGAGCACTGTCCCCATGGAACCCTTATTGGGTCTCAGCCTCCTCCTCATCACAGCATTGCAGGTAGCCACTGTGACCGGAATTGACATGTAAGAGGAAACCCGTTTACTATCCTTGTTTGACAGCTGGAGAAGAATCAGAGCAGAATCAGGATTGCGTCTTCCAAATCCAGAGTGCACTGTGTTTTACACCCAACCGTGGAGCACCTTTCCCTTCCAGGTTTCTCTCTGCACTTTGGATTCCTCCCCTGATAAAGTCTGATTCTTCACCCAATGTGTTCCAGCCAGAAAGCAGAGCACCAAATGACTCAGAAAGGTGCTCATGAAAAACTTAAAACCTAAACCAGTCTTTCCACCTGGTTGGAGAAAAGGCTTCTTGCTAAAGATTTTGGGAACAGCTTCTTGGAGAGATACCTGGGTGAGTATCTTACAGGCTCTGAACAGCACAGGCAGCTGACTCCAACCCGGTCCTCTCTCCTGGACACCTTCCCAAGTCCACACCAATAGATCATGACTGTCTGAAGGCCTGTGTTGAAGTGATTCCTGAGACCTTCATCAGGCTTGATTAATAATGTCTGCCACAGGTATGTGAATAGTGAGTGGCAGCAAGAGTCATAGGCCAGTTGGGTGAGGCCAGGTAAGGCCTGGCAGAGGTCTGGCCAGCCAGGCGAGACTCAGACCAGCCAGGTAAGGTGGCTGGAGTCTCAAGCCACAAAGCACAACCAGTGGCGGCTAAATGTTGTGGCCTTGAAAGCAAAGGCCAAATGCTGCAACCCAGCTGGTACACAGCTTTGAGCTGCAACAGGAACGCTGGGTCCCTGGGAAGGAAAGCTTCCTGTCTCCAGGGCCCCAGCTGGGAATCCATTAGCTCTACTGGTCACAGACACCTACATCACAGATAAGAAAGAGCCGTGAAAGGACACTGTGTATACAGGGATCAACAAGTGGCTGGCTGGCAAGGTCACCACCCCAGGACTTCTACCACAATGTGTGTTTGTAAAGCTGAGCAGGGTGGATGCAAACCCTTGAAGGCCAGAGCCATAGCCAGATCCAGGGACTGGAGAATCGTGACACCAAGCAATACTTGCACAGCCGCCTCACCCTGAAAATGACAAAAGGAAATGCCCCCCCAGAGACTGGGGGACATTTTTCTTCTCTTTGTGTATCATCCATCTTCTAGAGACATAGTATGGAAGGACTGAGACCCACACTGCTGAGTTCAAAGCTGTCTCTACCACGTATAAGCTGTGTGACCTTCAGGAGGTTACTTAGCTTCTCTGTGCCTGTTTCCCAGAGGTAATACTAGTGCCTTCCTTCTAGGGATGTTGTGGGACCCACTCCTACTTGTGGGACCCACCCAAGTATAACATTTCTATTTTTTTAAAAAAAGGCCAAAGTGGACAGCTATCTACAAGCACATTAATGTTTGCATGATTACCAAGCATATCGATGTAGAAATGTTACTGACTTGAGAACTTGTCCAATCTATGGGAAGGTGCCTTTGCCAGTTTTTAAAGTATTAAACCATTATAAAGTACTTTACACCTATAATGATTTAATTGCACTTTTCTAAGAAAAGCTATTTTAAACTAGATTGACTTTTTTTTTTTTTTAATTAGGAGCACTGCCATGGGGTAAAAGAAGTAAAAACACTCTTTTTTGAGGGAAACAGAATCCACGTAGCAGAGCCAGCACATCTGAAATGAACACCTACTTAAATCACACCATTCTCATCAGGAACGTGAATGTGGGGACAATGAACACTTATTTAGGCCTCTCTTGAGTGTTACCAAAATTCACAGCTTTTCTTCCTTCAGAGTCCCTGGTTTCGGCAAAGATCTGAAGAAGCTGGAAACTTCACGGATGCTCGATCTCTGCCTGGTGCTGGAGAATCACAGTTGGTTTATCCCCTCCTCCCTAGGGCCTGCAGTACATGGAGCTCATCCCAAAGGAGAAGCAGCCGGTGACGGGCACCGAGGGTGCCTACTACCGCCGCCGCCAGCTCATGCACCAGCTGCCCATCTATGACCAGGACCCCTCTCGCTGCCGTGGACTTTTGGAGAACGAGTTGAAACTGATGGAAGAATTTATCAAGCAATATAAGAGTGAAGCACTGGGTGTGGGAGAAGTGGCCCTCCCCGGGCAGGGCGGCTTGCCCAAGGAGGAGGGGCCGCAGCAGGGAAAGCCAGAGGGCGCGGAGCCCACGGCCCTGGCCACCAACGGCAGCATCGGAGACCCATCCAAAGAATACGTAAGTCCCCTGCCTCCGAGTCTGGCTGAAACCAGCAGCTCCAGGCTTTCTCCCCCAGTCACACACTCGGGCTGCCAGCAGCCATTTGAGGCTCACTGACTCTGTGCCAGCACTGTCCGTGGAAAATAACACAAGGTCACTGTCCTGGAGAGGCTAAATCACCCAGTGGAGATCACAGGCAGTCACACGGTCACAGCTTAGAGAAAGGGCCCCTAACTGGGCTCAGGGGTGAGCATGGGCTTAGAGGCCCAAGCTGGCCTCTGAGGAATACCTACGACTCATCCAGGCCTTCGGGCTTTGTGGGGAGGTCCTGTGCTGCCTTAAAGGGGTGAGCACATGCCAAAAGAGCCCTCAGCTCCAGAGGGCATGGTGGTGTAGGGACTGAACAAAGTCCCGTGTGACTGAAGGTGGAATGTGCTGGTGGCAGGGGACATGGGCTGGCAGGGGCATGCTCCCACGAAATCGGGCCATCCACCCGGTCCACACCCCAGTAGTGACAGGCCCATCCTGTCGGCCAAGCCCCAGGGATCAAACAAACGCAGGACACTATTCTCAGAATGGAGGAAGCTATGGATTTAAGACTTTACTCAGAGGGTGTGGGGAGCTCGGGCAGGCGTTCAGGGATGGCGTCAGGGGATCCAAGCCATGCTTCTGAGAGGCTCCTTCTGAGAGCCCCACATATTTGTGGCGGAGGTGCTGTGGGAGAGTGAGCCGCTGGAGGCCCTCTGAGAAAACACAGAGAGGCCAGGGTCCGGGGAGGAAAGCCTCATAGGCAGGTTTGTCTTCATCTGCACCAGAAGAGGTAGAAGAACTAGCTTGACACTAGTGCCACGTGGGGCTGACATTTGCTAAGTTCCGTGGCCACGGGCCCCTCTTCTACTTTTTGCTTTACCCTGCAACCCACCTGCCAAGTGACCCCAATAGCCTCTATTTGACATCTGGTGATAAATAATCTGATACACAGAGCCCTCAAGCAAATTACCTGCCTTGCAGGGAACAGGCTGGCGGCCCCCCGTGTGAGCAGACACCCCAGGGAAATGCCAGCCTAAAGGACACTGTTCCTACATTCAGACAGGACTCAGCTCTGTGTTGGCTGCAGTGACTCAACTTGTTATCCCAAAACTGCATCTTGCATCTGCAGCCCCCGGCTTATAGGAGGTTCACCTGAGATTGCCATCCAGTGAGCTAGGGCCTCATGATGTTTATCGGAGTCTCTAACCCAAAGGACGAAACTTATTTTCACTACCATAAATTTGATGATGGTGGTGAAAAGACCCAGTTCTCAGGAAGAGTATATGTCCCAGGGACTTAAGAACAATTAGAGCCAGTTACTATGTTTCATAAGCTCACCTCCTCCCTAGTTCTGTCTTCTGCCCACCTTCAGATAGCTGCATGTCCTTAAGGACTATGCAATTCCAAGTTGGAAGGTGATGTCCTTGTCATTGTGATGTCCCAACTGCCATCCCAAGGGAGATATGATCTGAGGACATATTTTATCCTTGACTCAGCCCCACATATTTGTACAGCATGGAAGTGGGGCAAAGGCAGACTGAAATCCCAGGGCCTGACTACAGTCAACTTGAGGAATAGTTCTGACACTTTGGAAACATTTAACCGACAAGACCAGACAGTAAACAGGGAATCTGAAGGAAGCAAATAATTGCTGGACTGAGCTAGCTGGGGAAGACAGCCTTCTCCTTCCATACCTTAGCCCTAATTTTAATTAGGTAGCGAATTCCATAATTAGTGGATTCATGTTGGTCACCCCCTCTAAATGCTGAGGGCTTGTCTTGTTATCTCTGTGTCTTCAGCAGGCACCACTGATATCAATAGTAGGTGCTCAGTAAATATGTGGTCCATGAATGAATGCACAAATGAATGAATGGCCAAGCTACACTGAGCCTCAAAAGATGGGGATAATTTGGATGGCCATTTTGCCTAGGAAGTTGATGGGATCCACATTTGTTAAGCACCTGCTCTGTGCCAAATGCTACGCTGGGTCTTTGTTTAATTCATACAGTTATTCGGTGGGGTGAGTCTCACTGCTCATTTTACAGGTGAGGCATCGCAAATTCAGAATGGACAGGTAACTTTCCCCAGGCCCCTCAGTTTCTAAGGGGCAGAATCTGAATCCGATCCCCTTTCTACTACAAAACGTTGAGTTATAAAACCCTGCCTGTCCTCTATTCCAGGGAGAAAGCAAGCCAGGGTGCTCCTAACTGTATTCCCTGCTTATCTCCTTGAAGCTGAGGAGTGAATCTCATTTAAGTAGCCAGATAGCCTGCCAGGTCATAGACCAACTGTGTGTCCCCAGCAACCCAGAAGTTAGGTGTGGTCATGAGCTTGGCGCCTTGAACTGATCGGCCTTACCCCCAGCGAGTGGCCACACTGAGTGGACTTGGGTGCCACCGCCCTGGGTGCTGCACTCCGCTCATTTGTCTAACAAGGTGTGCAGGACACGTAGTGGAACCAAGCGTCAGGCACGAAGCCTGACTTTTGCTCCCTTGCTGAGCGACATGCTTTGTTAGAAGTGTTCAGGGCATTCAGCTGGGGAACCCAGCTATGGGGAGGAAGCTGCGGGACTCAAACTGACACCCTAAATCCAAACGGTGGATTTTTTATGGAAAAAAAAAAAAGAGGGACACATGAAACATGTCACAGCAAACTCCACTAGTAACTTAGCACTGTTCATCATCCTGAGACAGATCACTATTATTACTGTTGTGAGCAGCTGCCATTTTAATGGGCTTTCTGGGAACTGGCATAGTACGAGCTCTAGAGTATCTGACTGGAGGCTCCCGGCCACCCAGGGACATGAAGAAAAGCTGTCCGATTCGAACCACCCTGTCTCCCTAGCCCATCTTTCCTGTTTCCCAAAGCTAACGGGTATTGTGCCGTGTGGCCATCTAAGTGTTGGAGGCATTAGAGCGAACAAACTTGATTTTCTCTGTGGCAAGACTTCTAAAATCCTTTGATAGGCTTTGGCAGTGAAAACACCTGGAAGGCTGGTTAACCTACAGAGAGCTGGGTCCCACCCCAGAACTCCCCGCTTAGTAGGTGCAGGTGGGCCTGAGGATCTGCATTTCTGAGTCCCCCAAGTTGAGAATACTTTGAGAACCACTGCTAAAGAGTATTAAATACTACCTTACATATAAGCTAAGCAAAAATGATTTCACCAATTTGGTATATGATGGGGGTCCAAGAGATGTTAACAGGTACATTTTCTAGATTTATAAAGCCTACTGGCTTAGGGATTCCAGCTCTGAGAGTGCTTCATAGCACGCTCACATTCCTTGAATTGTCCATAGGGAGTTCTGGAAACGCAGGCACAGAATGTAAAACTTCTTTATACCCGACCCCAACCACCCCCGTTCTGAGGCCCTGAGCACCCACTTCTCTCCATGCTGCTAAGCCCTCCCTACCACCCGCCTCCACCAGACTGTCCTCAGATGAAAGGGTCACCCAGACCAGAGAAGCATTTTGCTGAAAGCCTTTTCCAAGTCACCTGTGTGCAACTCCCACCCATGAACTGAGATCTGAATGAACCCAGATAACAGCCACCGGCCAGCCAGGTGGCAGGGAACGGTGCCCACTGAGCGCAGCTCATCCTTGTGGCCAGGGCTGCTCAGACCCTCAGAGCCAAGTACAATTCATGGGTCTGCAGCCCTCCTGCAGCTCTCCCACCCAGCGCCCTCACACAGGCCCCACCCAACAGGGCAGGGCAGCCTACCGTTCGCTGTGGCCCACCGGAGACATGACCCCAAGAGCTGCAGAGCCCACGCCCGGCTCAGCGCAGTCCTCACTACCCTGAGCTTGGGGGAGGCTGGACGCCACGGGAAACGCCTTCAGGTCATCCTTCCTGAGGAAACACGGGAGCAGAGAAATCCCAGATATGGACTCACCACTGTCACTCCTAAAGCAGGTCCTTTAAATCAGCGAGGCCATTACAAAACCCTAGCCTCCCTCCCTTGTCCCACTGTGTGCACGTGGAAGGGGCGTGGGGAGGGGCAGACAAGCTGAGAGCAGGGAGGAGTGGGGGGCGGGGGGTGGGGGGACTGTTACTGCACAGCGGGCTCATGCCTCTCTCGAAGCTCACCAGTGGGAGGCTGGGTTGTTAAACCCATTTCACAAATGTGGAACCTGAGGCACAGAGAGGTGAACAGGCTTGCTGATGAGAGGTGGGGCTGGGATGCCATCCCAGGTCCTTCTGTGTCACCAGTCCTGCAGGGGGCTGAGCCCTCCTGTGGTTTGTGGGGGACAACAATAGGCATGGTGGGTACAAGGACGTATGTGGATCTGTGTTTGTTGAGCGAGCGGCAGTGTTTGGAGCAGCTCGCAGCCCAGCCCTGTGAAGACTTTGGGGGCCTCATGTCTGTGTGCCAAGAACGGCAGAAAGACTTGCCCACCCCACCCCAACCTTCCAACAATGGGTTCTCAGGGGTCTTGGGGGCTTCAAAGGGTTCCATGGCCAGGGAGCTGCCAAGCCCAGCGGCCAGGACCCCGTCACACCATGGCCACGCCCCAGGCCCTCCACTCCCCATGTCTCCCACCTGCATGGAAGCCGGGTGCCAGGGCCAAGCAGGCAGTGGCCTCCAGGCTCTGACCGTGAACGGCTCCACCAAACCTCTCCCTGTGTTTAGAGAGCTTACCGGATATTTTCTCAGAAATTAAATATACAGATTTCCTGGGCATGGCCGTTTTGCCCAGGAATTTCCACCCTTCCCTACACCCCAAGCTTGTAACTGAAGAGAGGGGAAAGGAAGCCAGCACAAGCAGTGAATGTAATCTTCACCCTGCAGAATCTGTCATTCTGGCCAGGGGTGCCCCCGGCCCCTCCCCCACACCTCTCCCTATTTCAGGCCAAGTCGTGGCACCAACAAGTGCCTGGGGGGAGGCACAGTGAGGGGAAGGAGGCCATCCTGGGAAGTACAGTGTCACCCCCGGCCTCTCTCTCCCCACAAGCACCCACAGAGGAGGGGTGGGGGGCCGGGACTCCACCC